CTTGGGAATAAAGAACTAAAAGTAAATCTAACAAGGATTTTATCACCATCCTACTAATTTATCAATACTCACTAATTAATAGACTGATCAATAGTAAGTCTTAAGTCTTAAGTCTTAAGAAAGACTAAAATGTTTAATAATAATAATTAAACTTATTTGGATCAGAACAAACTGGGTTAAAAGTAGTCAAGCAGTCGCGGATACAAATATACATAGTGCGAAAACGTTAAAACAATAAAAACTATTTGATAGTATAAAGTATTTTAAATTTCAAATTATTTGGCGCTTTTATATTTGCTGGTACTTGTGGCGCCGCGTTATGTGCTCTCCATGTACTAAGGAACGCCACCGCAGTGGCTATACAACAGATTTCTCATATGACTTGGTCCCCCTGTGTAAAATAGTACAACATACACTAGTCTCTTTTTGACACTGATATTAAAGGTAATTTGTGATTTCCCTCTCAATAAGTAATTAACAAAGTTTTTTTTAACTTAACGGTTGGTATTATTTATTGATTTTACTATGACAACAGCAAAAATGAAACCAACGGCAAATCAAGTTTATTTTATTAAAAAAAAACAGTTTAATGTGAGAATTTTATAAGAAAAAAAAAACAATTAAATTACGTGATAATAGTGTTAATAATTCGGTGGCAATCGCAAGCCCGACAACCGAAATCACGAGTGTATTGAAATCCCATCTGGCTCAAAATCCCTACGTTCAAAGTCCCGACAATCAAAATCCCGACTATATCGAAATTGTCTTTTATTATTATAAATTTCTACAATAACATTTTTATGGTAGTCGAGATTTCGATATAGTCGGTATTTTGATTGTCGGGACTATGTTAGTCGGGATTTTTACATAGTCGGGATTTCAAGCGTCGCGATTTTAATACAGTCGGGATTTCCAACGTCCGGATTTCGATACAGTCGAGATTTCGAACGTCGGGATTTCAATAGACGGTCTTTCGGTTGTCGGGCTTCCGATATAGAACCTTAATAATTATGTGTGTTAAGTAATATTATGTGCTAATAATAATTACGTTAACAAATCTTTATAATTAGTGAGTAGCAAAATAACAGATGGCGACACCTAAGAGTAAGTATTTAAAATAGTATAACTTGCACATTTTTACTTCGATATTTCACCGTCTAATAAATATTGTAAACAATATTTAACAACAAATTCAACTGCAAGTACTTATTGTCAATATAGTCAATATCAAAGCTATTGGAATGAATTACAAGTATCTATAGATGGCGCCAATGGTAATTTTGAATTACAAAATTGTATTCTCCATTAAGTATTATTAAGCTGTGTTAAACTGATTGCATAATTATAAGTATTATACAATCAGATTTAAATACTATGCAAATTTGTTTGATACAAAAAAAAGTAGATGTTAATTTCGAAATAATAAATGCAAATTGAGTAATGTGGACAATTAAAATTGATGAGATTGATGTAAATAAGCTACAAAATATTTTATTTATGTAATTTAAATTTCATTATCAAACTAATAAGAATGTAATTTATATATTTATAAATGCATTTTTGATTAGAAAATTAATGGTTTAATTAATTAATACTAATGTATTTAATTTATTTTTGCCTGTACATTAAGTAGTTCTAAGATAAATTCGTCCTAAGCTTTAATCAAAGTGTAGTCAGGGCTTTCAACGTCGGTTTATAATCCATCATATCCACTAGATGCTTCTTGTTGGCGTGATACATGTTTTCGAAGTAACTCTGCCAATCGACCTGACTGAAGTCAAAGAACAACAATTTCCTCTCCTCTTGATCCATCGATTCCCAAAGATCATCTATATTCTTCGACTCGAATTGGAATTCCTTGTACATAAAATGCTCCATCAGCTGCATCATCTTCTCGTGCCTCTGTATCTCCTTGACATAACTAAATCACGTAATTATGAATCAATCAATTTCAGATCGAGAAGTCACAACTCACATTCCTTTCCTGCCGTTCATCTCCAAGACAAGATCCTTCATGTGGCTGAGGAACCTGTACTTCAGACTACCAAACATCAACCAGGGATCCTTTATGTTCTTTATATACATGTGGTACTGCTCAAACCAGGTGGGTTTATTCGTGATCAGAGTATAGAATTTGGTCTTCTCTCTGCAAAGAATTACTTGAAAATAACTGTTTGTTTTTGTATTGTAGATTACTTGATGTTTGCCGCGTCGCAAGTAGCTGCTATCAAAGCGTTGGTGGAGAGATCGATGGGTATCATGTTACCTTTAGCTTTGGGATTCAGATTGAACATTAAACCCGTGTGAGCTTTCCGCAGGATAGCCGAAAAGGCGGAGCAATTTATCATCCAGTACGGGTAAGGTTCTTGGTAAGCTTCACTAACTGAAACGTAAAACTTTAATGTTGGTTTGTTTTAGGTGAAAGGATGTTTACTGCTTCCCGGTCGGAATATGCCAATCTTCATATCGGTGTTGTTCTTGTACAGGAGGTTTTCTGCAGCGTTTTTGGTGTATATGTAGGTGTTGGGCCAATCCTTCAGGTAAGTCTTAGCCTTTACCTCGATTTCATCCTTCGTGAGAGTGTCGTGCATTCGTATTAGATCGAGCGGATCTTGGGACATTTCGTAGCTTCGATCTTGGATCGAAGACCTCGAGAATCTGTGATTTATAAAAGCTGTGGAAACGTGCATGAAGCACTGCAAAAAAAAAATACAAATTGTGGTTAGATCAAATAAATAGACTCACGTTTAAGTTGGTGCATCTCTTGGCGATTTTGAAAACCTCATTGGTACCGCAAAGATTAAGATTGATGGCGTTCTTTAAAGGTTCCACAAACCTTACAGTAGCTGCGGCATGATAGATCACGTTCACTGTGTCGCTGATATGCTTCAGACTGTCTTCGCTCAAACCCAAGTTAGGTTCGCTGATATCACCTTCCAACCAAACGATTTTACTCGTAAGATCAACATTGCTACGCTTCAAACAATCGAAAGCCTTGAAAATCATAAAATCTTAAATTCGATTAATTAACCGTTTCTATATCACTTACATCCAAGCTGAAATAGTTCGATGATCTCTGACCTAAACTCTCGCCATTCTTCCTCCTCACGACCAAATTAATGCTTCCAATTTCCGGAAAAGCTCTGAGCAACTTCTCCACCAAAGATACCCCAACTAATCCAGTTCCGCCTGTTATCAGAACGTTTTTGTTTGCGAAAAACTCTCGGATTCTCAGCATCTTTTAAAAAAATAACTGTCCACTCTTCGTTTGACAACGATTATTTATATGGACACTGGACTTCTTATCGATGTTTTTCTCCCCCGGTTGACCGCAATCAGACAAAGCAACAATTACCGTTAGCAATTCACTTTCAATGCTTGTGATTCGACCGCGACTGGAGCTGCTCATATCGAAAGCATCGATTTAAATACGTTCCGCACTTTGCAATAATTAAGAGTTGTTTCATTACAAATTAGAAGTTAATGAAGCATTAATTTTATAGATTTTTATAATTAAAACTGGTTAATTAGGAGACGTTTCTTAATCAAAACAACATTATTTTAAATTGTTTTTCATTTTAGTTATTTATGTTTATTAAAGTAATATACTACTATTTCGTAAGTTTATTAAAATATTGGCATGTTTTCAATTATATATATATAATATTTGTGCAAAAATAAACATTTTTTAACTAAAGATAAATTAAAAATAATATTTAATGAAATTAATGAGATAAGTTGTTTGATTACCACAAGCAGATTAACCGTACTTAAATGCATTCAACTAACATATTTGAAGTACTTCGAGAACGATGATGAAACTTTGTAAATCATTAATCTACAAATAAATTAAATAATTATGTTTATTTTAAGAAATATTTACGATTTTAAAGTTACCTTTTTTTGAATTGTTAAGGTGTTTCGCCTTGTCTCGCATTACTTAATACAATTACCTTCTTGCCTTGAGTCGTATCTTGTGCAGAATCCAAAGAAATGTTATACTTACAGTAATTATAACGACAAAACGAAAACAAATATCATTTCTTAAGACATTGTTCTTGGAATAGCGCGAATTTGAATTCAATTGTATAAAGGACATTCTGGAAAATGGGCCCCTGAGGTTCCATTTAATTACATAACTGTCCTTGATACGGGAATGGAAAAGTCCTTGAGACATTTCCTTGCAATCGCGTTCCCTTTTTAATCTAAAAATTCATTAGTTCGTTTGATAATAAAGTAATGAGAGCGACAATAATTTATTCAATTGTATTCGATTGAAAAACGTCATGATTTTGTTTTGTTTTTGATTTTTCATTATTCACTTGTTTCAAAGCACTCGATTTATAATCCAATTAATACCGAAATCGACAGAGAGATTTGTTGCGTTTCCAGTATTCAGATCACTATTTTTTTCTGTTCTGATAATTTGCATATTCAAAGTATGGTAATTGGTGCACGTGATTATCGTTAAATGAAACGTGAAGAGAAAATACAATAGAAAAATGGAAATAACTTAGTTATTAATTTGCATTACTTAACAGTAGTTATATGAAAAGATGTGCAACTAAAAACCTTTTCTTAAGAAATCTTAAAATATTTGAAAATTTGTATAGTTTTTGAGTTAAGCTGTTTTTTTTTAGAATTTTGTGAATAATTTCGAAAAATTTAAGTTTAATTTATAGAAATGTTTAGTTTTGTTAGTATTTATTAATAAATAGAAACAAAAAAAAGTTATAGTTGCTATCAAAATTTTCCTATTCAAACTATGCTAATTAATGCACGTGAAGTCATGAAAAACATAATAGAAAAATCGAAATATCTTTGTTATTAATTTTCATTACTTAACAGCAATTATATCAAAAGATGCGTAACTAAAGACCTTTTCTTAAGTAATCATAAAATATTTGAAAATTTTTATAGCTTTTGAGTTAAGCTGTTTTTTTTTGTTAGAATTTTTGTGAAAAAATCGAAAAACTTCGTTTAGGTTTTTTTAGTATTTATTAATAAATAGAAACGATATTAAAATTTTGCATACTTAAATTATGTTAATTAGCGCACGTGATTATCGAGTAATTAAATGAAAACGTAAAGATATGATAAAACACAATAGAAAAATCGAAATATCATAGTTATTAATTTGCATTACTTAACAGTATTTATATGAAAAGATGCGCAACTAAAGACCTTTTCTTAAGTAATCTTAAAATATTTGAAAATTTGTATAGTTTTTGAGTTAAGCTGTTTTTTTTTTGTTAGAATTTTTGTGAAAAATTTCGAAAAATTTAAGTTGAATTAATAGAAATCTTTAGTTTTTCTTTTAGCATTTATTAATAAATAGGAACGAAAAACTTATAGTTGCTATCAAAATTTGCCTATTCAAAGTATGCTAATTAAGGCACGTGATTATTAAATTAAATGAAACATGAAACGAAATATCTTAGCTATTCTAAAGACCTCTTAACCTCGTAAGTAATCATAAAATATTTGAAAACTTTTATAGTTTTTGAATTAAGCTGTTTTTTTTTGTTAGAATTTTTGTGAAAAAAATCGAAAAATTTAAGTTTAATTAATAGAAATGTTTAGGTTTTTTAGTATTTATTAATGAATAGAAACGAAAAAAGTTATAGTTGATATCAAAATTTTGCATACATAAATTATCCTAATTAGCGCACGTGATTATAGAGTTATTAAATGAAAACGTAAAGACATTATAAAACACAATAGAAAAATCGAAATATCTTAGTTATTAATTTGCATTACTTAACAGTAGTTATATCAATAGATGCGCAACTAAAGACCTTTTCGTAAGTAATCTTAAAATGTTTGAAAATTTGTATAGTTTTTTAGTTAAGCTGTTTTTTCTAGGTTAGAAATGTTGCAAAAGATATCGAAAAATGTAGGTTTAATTAATAGATATGTTTAAGGTTTTTTTTAGTATTTATTAATAAATAGAAACGAAAAAAGTAATAGTTGGTATCAAAATTTGCATATTCAAACTATGCTAATTAACGCACGTGATTATTAAATTAAATGAAACATGAAAAACATAATAGAAAAATCGAAATATTTTTGTTATTATTTTAAATTACATAACAGAAGTTATATCAAAAGATGCGCAACTGAAGAACTTTTCTTATGTAATCTTAAAATATTTGAAAATTTGTTTAATTAATAGCACTGTTTAGTTTTTTTTTAGTATTTATAAATAAATAGGAACGAAAAAAATTATAGTTGATATAAACATTTGCATATTCCAACTATACTAATTAGCGCACATGAAATAGAAAAATTGAAATATCTCAATTATTAATTTCTGAAAATATTTGAAAAATGGTATATAGTTTTTGAGTAAAGCTACATTTTTTTATGAACTATTATGACGAAATCTCGAAACGAAACGAAAAAGTTATAATTGATATCAAATTTATTTAATTAATTTATTACAATTACCACACATAAAATCTTATTAGCTTGCTATAATTTTCAATTCTTTGATTTTTATACAAATTTGCGTTTTTTTTTTTGTATATTTGTTTAAAATTTAGTATGTATATTTTTGTTGTTGTATACATATTTGGATTGCTGATATTTCTCTAGTTTTTGCATGTGCTTCAGTTAACACACATCAATTAAACATCACACACATTTAAAACTTTTAGGAAATCACTGCGAGAGATTTTCGTAAAACCACACTCACGTGCAGCAAAAAATTCACTGAGGCGTTCGTCAAGGAAGTCATCTTCTTGATGAATTCCACAGAGTAAACGTCGTTCCTTTTCATCATTACGAGAAACTCTTTCATCTCCATGAAACCGTCTAGACTGTAGAGGTTCGAGCTTGCAGTTGATTCCAGGTCATGCGTATCGTCGATTATCCTATCCAAGATATTGTTCCAATTCTTTATAGCTTGTTTCAGCGGATGCCTTACGCGAATTTCCTCGTCCACCACCTGAAGATCGCTCGAGAATCTCCTGAAGCCTGTCTCCATATCGTACAAGATTTGTTCCAAATTCGTCCAATACCTGGATTCCTCTTCAATCGACCACATGAGCCATTGCTCGGTCTCTTCATTTTGCGTCCCGTAGATCGACAAATTCGCGTTGCCCCCCGGATCCTTCAAATACTCGTCCCTCTTCATCTCTAGACTGTTTCGCAACATCTTCCTCTCGTGTCGCATGTCCTGTATCTGCATCACCAACTCGTGATGCTTCAGCACGTAACTGTTCAACTCCAACACTTTTTCGTGCAAAATCCCAGACATTCTCTGCATCATGTAAAACGAATACTGATTTTATTTCACTAACTGAACTTCGGAGTGCAGAAATAAGCAATTATTATAACGATGGAACCGCTTTAACGACCTTTTTTTAACAAATACAAATTAACAATAAGGCATGCTTCTCCACTACACAGATTTTTAACGATTTATTTGTAAATCCTCAAACGCTCTCCCTTTTTTCTTTCATACTCTTATCTTCCATAGAAACGCACTTCTTATAAACCGAAATGCTCAAATTCCAAACAAATTTAAACCAACATTATTAAATATGAAAAGATAATTGCTTCTTTATGATATTTAGTCGTTAAAATACAATACAATTCTATACAATCCAAAGGTCATTAAAAAGCAATGATCTCAATGTAAAGTAAACACACAAACTTCAATTACAAACTAAGTTTATTAATATAACAGATAAACAATTAAACAATAACTATTTGTATTCCCACAAGTTTGGGATGGAATTCAGTAAGGAGCATAGGGAATTATGTGAGGTCACATCGAATTCAACATCATCAGTGTCCCATTCGATGACTTCATCGCAAAGCACTGTCTTCCCTTGAGAAACACCACGAACCTGAAAAATTAGAAATCATTAAACTACAAATTTTATTTGGAGATGTTTCAATTTTCATACTTCGACATATCCATTTAAAGGACCATCATGGGGTTGCTTCATGTTGATCTTGATGTTCTCTCCATCGACTGTCTGTATTTCAAAGGAGGAACCATCCGGACTGGAACTGTTTACCAGACCTGTTATGCTGACTTTTTTACCATTGAAACGCAGCAGAAGCTTTCCGTTCACGATTTCCCTGGAGTTCTCCATTCTATCATCAAAAGAATACAGATTTTAAAGACTTTATTACTTGCCAATTCCTCAAATTGTACCTCGCAATAAAACAGTTGTTGCACCTATTCCTAAAGGTTATGATTTTAACTGGTATAAACAGAATTTGGCGCCAAAGAAGCGATCAATTAAAAATTCGCATTTAAAGTTTATTAATATAAATTAATAATAATATGAAATACAAAGCGTTTATAATTATTTCGATTTATAATAAATCATGTTTTAAAGAATTTAACATTCAAATTGTTTGTCAATTAACGTAGGCAACCAAATTTACTTCTTACATACAATATTCAGTAAATTAAAAAAACACAGGAAATTTCACTTTATAAATAAACGTAATAAAACAATTAAATTGACTATTTTTTTTATAATATTATTTTTTTTTTCATTATTTTAAAATTATTAATTGTAAATTTATTAATTATGGAATTTTATTGATATATAACTAGTAAAATCTATAAAAAAATAAAGTTAATTTCAGAGGTGTTGTGATTATAATAATTTGTTTTTTCAATGCAAGGAAATCTAATAAGATTTTCATTTTTTTTTTCAAATTTACTCAAAAAGTATAAAACTAGTTACGTAATTTATTATTACATAGAAAGAGGCATATTCATTAATGAGGGAAGTTTAAGTTATATATGTTGATAATCTTGTCTACAAATTAATTATTGAACTGAAAACTTATTAGTACAGCTTTTTGAATATAGATGACAACTGTCAAGGATTTGAATTTGTTTTTGTTATTATTTCTATTCTAAATTGATGATTACATACATTTTGGGGCAATATTTAAAAATCAGTTATTTTTAATTCTTCTGTCTTTAAACAGTTTATTTTCAGTATAAAATGTATTGAAGATTTATTGCAATTCCTTAGGTTCATTTGAAAAGTTAATAATAACAAACACTCATTTCAGAAGATAAATTATATTAATATTTACTTCTTGTAAGAAAGAGCCTGTTGTTAAATCATAGGTTTTATAGTGGATGTATTTATTGTGGGGGAATAGAAATTGCAAGATGATTTCAACGAAATGAGTAGAAGTATCTAAGTACAATAAATCAGAGCAGTCTGAGCCGAAAATTGTGGAAACAATTTATTGTTTATCTTTGATCCTGGAATTAGAGACGTCGAGCGTGGGTTCGCATACGCTCTTAACTTAACCGAGGAATCATCCGATTGTCAAATAAAACCTTCAGTAACAGTTCGTTGGCCAAACATCGGATGAATCATCGAGCTTAAGCAGATCTTCACGACGACAAGGACGATCTTGTAGGTTTCTCGAAGTGAACGAAGCTAAAAGTGTCGCACTTTTGATGCGTTTCTATCCTCCTCCTTCGAAATCTCGAAATAACCGTGTGACACGCGACTTCGTAATAACCGTTTCGTCATTAAGGTAACGGCATAACCGCACTATAAGTGGTCTATTTATATTGGGGACTGGCCGAAATTCAATTCCCAAAATATCCGGAAAATCCGTGCAGAGGCCAAACGAAGAGGAGGAGGCTGAAAAATCAGCCGAAAATTGGTGATATCCGATCCGAAAATATATTTTCCCAATCGAAAATAGAACCTTTCCCAACTGCAACACGAAGAACAAGAAAACAAACACACTCACAAAAATAAAGAAATATAATAGTAACAGTATCTCAAAGTGAACATTTCTATTTTTTCCACACTTCTCTTAGTTTCTTTTTCTTTCATCTTAATGCGCGAATATTAATAAACGCTATTTTTGTTTTTGGGAAAAAATGGATGCTTTTTATAGCGCCGTAATTGAATCGTTTCGGGATTTAAATTAAGAAAGCGAAAGCTCGAATGAATAAATAAATAATGGTCGTGCAGGAAGCCGCGGCGGTTTTCGTTGCGTAACGCTTTACGACTTTTGGGCCGCGAATTACGACCAGCTTTCAAACGGTTTTTCGCGTTTTACGGAATGCGAGATATGTGTTTGACACTCTATTTATTCTTCACTCTCGACGTGTTTCAGTTTCTTCAAGTAATTTTTGGACTATTGATGTATTTCCGGATGTTCGCAAATTATATGATGTGTTTATTTTCGTGTTACGTTTAGAAATAATGATAGTTTTCATTTTTCTAGCTTGTAAGTTTATATGTTGGAAATGTCTATTTGACTGTTAAATATATAGTTTATATATGTTAGATAGTAAGATACGTTAGACTAAAGTATGGTAAACTTTAGTTGACATAAATTGATATTGATATAAATTATCATCAGTGGACTTCAGTTGATATCAGTTGACATAACTTGAATTTAGTTGACATAAGTTCTAATTATTGGACTTCAGTTGATATCAGTTGACAACTTGAAATTAGTTTAAATTAGTTGACATAAATTGATATGTTGACATACATTGAAATCAGTTGACATAACTTGAAAAATGTTGAATTTAATTGACATAAGTTGTCATCAGTGGACTTCAGTTGATATCAGTTGACATAACTTGAAATTAGTTAACATAAATTCACATTAGTTGACATAAATTCACATCATTTGACATAAATTGAAATCAGTTGACATATCTTGAAACATGTTGAAATTAATTGACATAAATTCTAATTATTGGACTTCAGTTGATATCAGTTGACATAACTTGAAATTAGTTTAAATTAGTTGACATAAATTGACATCATTTGACATAAATTGACATCAGTTGACATAACTTGAAAAATGTTGAATTTAATTGACATAAGTTGTCATCAGTGGATTTCAGTTTACATAAGTTGATATCAGTTGACATAAATTAAAATTAGTTTAAATTAATTGACATAGATTCTCATCAGTGGACTTCAGTATATCAGTTGACATAACTTGAAATTAGTTGAAATTAATTGAC